AATCCATGACTCTCAAAAAGTATTCAATCAATGTTGAAATAACACAAACCAGGATTTGTCTAAGAGATCTTGTCTTGTCTTCTCAAGATCTAGTACCCGGAATGTTGTGACCCTCAACATAACAGCAATATTCTACAGTGTCAAGTTCTACTCATTAGAATGCGGAATGTCGAGTCACATCAAAGCCACTAAATAGAATTTTCAAAAATAAATAAATTATATGGTTTAATGGCACCTGAAACAAAAATAACAGTGACAAATCATTCATATCAAAACATGGTTGGGGGCCAACTTCCATCTGTCTACAAACATACATTGTGCCTACACAATACTATTTACAATTCCAATCCCAGTAATCAGAGCCATCACACATATACATATACAAATTTGCAATTATAAACAAATTTCCCCCCAGGGATCAATAAAGTATTTCTGATTCTGATTCTGATATACAGTAGCACTCATTAATAGCTTATGACACTGATAACCCCATCAGTCCTTTCATCTCCATTAGTTTACAATGATGTGCATTATATTGGACCTTCAAATGAAAGAGCAAATGGGACAGGCTTTAGGCTTTCCTGCTGTCTCACTGCAGCACAGAACAGTTCACGGATAGGAAGGTTCATATACACCGGGGTTTATATCAGCTCCCCGTCCCAGAGGTTCCAGTTCCTTCTGTTAAGATTAAGATTAATACATTAAAACAGTGGTTCCCAACCTTTTTCCTTAAGGGACCCCTTATTTATAATTAAATAAACTGACAACCTCTGCCTAAGTGACATATTTTATGGCTATGTCATGTTATATTTAAAACCTGTACAATATACTCAAATAGTGAACACAACAAGTGCAAGAAGTTTGTGTAAAACAAGTGATTTGGACGAATTTTTAGTAGATTATTTCCTATTTAGGGAACATTCTATACAATTCTCTGTCTGTATGATGTATCATTTTTAACAATCATACATACACATACAATAGGCTTCTTTTTTAGACAAATTCAGTGTTTTCTTGTCTTTGGCACTTTACTTTTCTTCACAAAAGTAAACAGCGTCATTGATACACGTGGGGAGCGAAGGCTGGCCTGTGTGGTCCAATCCAACAGACAAGCTACTGTAGCTTAAATTGCTGAAAACCCTAATGCTGATTCTGATATAAAGGTGTCAAAACACAGTGCATCAGAGTTTGCTGTGTATGGGGCTGCATAGCCAAAGACCAGACAGGGTACCATGCTGATCCCTGTCCACTGCCTACAATGGGCATATAAGCATCAGAACTGGACCTTGGAGCAATGGAAGAAGGTGGGCTGATCTGATGAATCATGTTTTCTTTTACATCTTGTGAATGGCCAGGTGTGTGTGCGTCTCTTACCTGGGGAACACATGGTACCAGGATGCACTATGGGAAGAAGGCAAGCCAGCGGAGGCAGTGTGATGCTTTGGGCAATGTTCTGCTGGGAAATCTTGGGGCCATTTTTCATGGAAACGGTATTTCCTGATGGCAGTGGCCTTCAGCAGGCTAAACAAAGCAAAAATCGTTCAATTTCAAGGTGTTGCCTCCTCTAAATTCCAGAGATCTCAACATGTACAAACTGAGAACAATCTGATAAATAGGACTTAAACCAGCTTAGTGCGGTTCCTTTAATGCCAATTAGATGCTCAAGTCTCTGTAATAGAATATGATGGTCAATGGTGTCAAATGCAGCACTAAGATCTAACAATACAAGTACAGAGACAAGTCCATTGTCTGAAGCAATTAAAAGGATATTTCACCAGTGCTGTCGTTGTGCTATGAGGTACAGTGTTGTTGACAGTGAGCCTGCAGCACTATTGACAAGATGATCAATGTACTGCATTTAGCCACCAGAGGGCGATCCAGATGTTTTTCTTTTAGAGAGCTGTCATGTCGTAAATGGTAGGTAAACAGACTGTACTTGTATGCTTTTTTAGTCTTCCGACCACTCAAAGCACTTAATGCTACATGCCAAATCCACATTCCCACACATTTATACAGTGATTGCAAAGCCCATCACAAACAGAAACTAATACTCATGCACATACATTCATACACTATTGCACAGCATTCCAAGGAAAATAGCTATAGGCCTATATGCAGTGTGTGTCCACTGTGTGTCAATGTATATTTCTGATGCTTTAGTACTGTCATTATCTTCCCTCTCTATCTCTTTCTCTCTCTCTCTCTCTCTCTTACCAGGGGAAGAGAATTTGCTGGCTATTCTGAAGCAGCGCTGGTGGAAATACATGATTCTGGGTTTGATAGACATTGAGGCCAACTATTTGGTCCTTAAAGCTTATCAGTATACTACACTCTCCAGTGTACAGGTAAGTGTGTGTTTGTGTGTGAGTGAACCTCAGTACTATAGACTGGCTGCAGACCCTTATACCTCAGTTAATAATAATAATAACAATAATAATACATTTTATTTAAAAGCGCTTTTCTAAATACTCAAAGACACTTTACATACAGAACATCAATCAGCAAAACAATATAAAA